TTTAGTCCACACTGTAAGCCATTCTCTACATAGTGAGCAGGCTGTGGAGAGGCAAATAGACCCATGGGAAACGGTACTGAAGCAAGGAGCCCAGCTGGAGATGACTCCTAACCAAAATCACCCAAAGTAAGACTGTAGGAAAGCATTATTGCCAGGGCTATGGTACTCACTATTATGAGCTGTCACCAATAAGACACCAGATGGGTAAAAGCCATGCTGTAAACTTCTTGAATGGCTTTGTGAGTAAGCTGATGTTCCCTTTCACTCAAGACATAAATTTACAGAGTTAAATAAGCCATCCACCATTCATTTGTTCTTTTGACATTCCTGAGAAAAAATTAGGTACAATATAATCAAATGTGTGAAAATTGACTACAGCCCTTGTCCTGATGGAGCCTGCAGGTTCCATCCATGGTCTCAACATTTCTGATTGTTTAGCTTGATCAGGAAAAAAAATTTCCATGTCCCAAATGTATACATTTATTTATTTAAATATTAAATAAAACACTCCTGCATATTATGTACATTACAATATTCACAATTTAAAACTCAGTTTTTAAAAGCTAATATTAAAAAATAAATATATAGGTAAGTTCTTATGCTTCCTTCCTACTTCCTAGGGATCATGTCTTGCACATCTCATTTGGCAAAACAAGTTGATTTGTGTAATTTGTGTGTTGGTCTCTCTTCTGCTCTTTCAAATACCTCTGCAAGCAAGTTTCAGACAGTGTTTTGTAAGCAACTTTCCAATGTACAATCAACAACCTGGCATACTGAAGTCAGGAAGAGTCACATCTCTGACAGCTCAGAACGCAGTTAACACACAAACAGATGGCTTTTCACTGAGCCCCGCCAGCAGTTCTGAGGCTGACTGCCCTCTCCCCCACACAGGGCAGTCCTCATTAAGGCCTGAGCTCACCACTCTTCCCGTTCCTATCTGGCTGGCAGAGGCCAGGAAGGCTGTCAAACTGAAAACAAGAACTGCTTAACAAATCAGACACCATATTTGTACTAGTGTTTTCTTTATTGTCATAGACTGTTATGATAGACTTTATAAATTGTGGTTGGTAGAGTTGGATCACTTTGAGGTTTTCAGAGTTCTGGGCTAAAGAGGAAATAAAGCCAAGAAAACCCAACCACAAACAAAAAAAGGGGGAGGAAAATGGCATTACTTGTCTGACCAAAGTCAGGCTGGGTAAACACTACTTTTTGCACACATATAATGTGAGATTGTGCTTATGTCTGGTATTTGTTACCACTGGCTAAGTTGATCTCTCAATAGTGATTGCAGCCATACATGTAATTTTGTTTAATGGGCTCACTCAATATCTATGTTAGAACTAAAACTAAGATACAACCCTACTTAGGAATGCCTAATACATCCATACTATTTTAACACTGGCAAGAGAAATTCGAAATCTGATCACTTTGGAAAGTTGTGCAGAATGTCACATTAACCAATAATCTTCATCAAAGAATAACACATTTGGCAAATCATTAATTTGGCTAGCATAAGAGAAGAATAAATCCTTGGGTATCAGAAAAGGTATGGAAAAATGCCTAGGTATGTGCACTTAACAGATGTGGGTTAGCTCTGATGATAAGGTATGGATAGCACTCATCTCCTCCCTAAAGCGATGGTCTAGGGTGAAGAAACCATATCTTCTACCCCTAGTACTCATGGGTATATTAGGACAATTGCTGTGTTATACGAGTGTACATTGCTTGATGCTAACAGCTCTCTAATCTTTAAAATGAATTGTGTTTTACTGATGAAAAAAAAAAGCTAAAATCCAGGGTCAGAGACATGGGTCAAGTGGTAGAGCGCATGAGACTCTCACTTCAAAACCCCAGAACTGCCAAAGAAAAAAGCTAAAATCCTATAGCACAGCAAAAGCAAATGTGACATTAATGAAATAAAGTGCTACTCCTCATATGAGCCATAATAATCCATTAGTATAATTAAAGTTATGTGCCTTTAATTAGAGCAGCTGATGATTCTTGGCTATACCAAAATCTTTGTCCTTGTGGTTTACCAGCTACTGAATCTTTCATAATTAGTGTCACTCATTTGGAATGAAAAACGATGACCCCCAAAGTCTCCTAATATAGTCAAAATTAGGACATTGACACTTTGAAGTACAAATGGGTCATTCATGCTATCAGAGCAGTCACTTAGGAATCTCAAAGGAAATGGCACAATGAACAAGGAAAAGGCCATGCAGAGTGGTGGAAGGCTCTGCTGATTTGTTTTCCCTTAGGACGCTATGGAAGACTGGAGAGCTAGCACTATTGTTTTTGGCAGAAGGAGGACTGGGGTGAGCTGGGGATTGAATCCAGGACCTTGCTCATCTAAGCATGCATTCTACTGTTAAACTATATCCCCACCCCAAAGAAAGTCATTCCTTTTTAAAAGTAGTAAACACATTGTTTTGGACAATGTAATTTTTTAAGAACCGAAACTATGCTCACTTATTTAAAGTAAAGTAACTGCATTTATATTAAATTATATGAACACATACATGCACACACACAGACACCCACAGTAAGGGCTACTCCAAGCTGTTCTTTGTTTATGAATTTCTCTGCTATGCTTTGCCTAAGTTACATTGCAGTAACTGATTTGACTTTATATAGTATGTCTTTCTTTTTTTTTCATTCCTGTTGTAAATGCTTCCATGGAGCTTTGTAGTTTTATCGTTATAAGCCTTGTACATTTCTTGTAAAATTTATTTTGAGGCTTTCTTTTTTTTTTTACAAATTATGAATGGAAACTTTCACTCATGTTTCCTAATTATTATTGGAAATAGGGTTGGCTGGTGATTATCCCTAATTAATTTCTATAAACTGTTTTGCCTGGAGCCTTTCAGTTTCTTTTGAATTTTCCTAAGTATACAATCATGCAAATGACATCTTCTCCTTTTCTCTCTATACGCTCTATGTGTCACTCTCTGGTGTAATGACTTTAGGTGTAATGTTAGGTAATGTGGGGCAGTGCTCCTGACTTTAAAGGAAATACTCCTATTTTTCATCAGTAGCTAACTTTTATTTTGAGGTAGTATGGCAACATCAAAAATTTAAAAAACATCTAATTACCTTTAGTGGTAGATTTAAAACATCATAAACATATGCAAAATATTTTCAATCACTTTTCAGAATCTATGAGATAATCCATTTTTCTCTCTGACCTGTTAAGCTCTAACCACTCTTGCAGTCTTATAAGAAATGTTAATGGTATCTGTTCTTACTATTACTATACAGTATTTGAGAGATAAGCTTCACAAATGCAGAGAGAAACAGACTAAAGACATATAAAACAGACCAATGAAAATGAAGAGGTACGCAGAACTGCTGTGGCTAGAGCTCAAAAATGATAATCTGACATAAAAAGATGAATGAATTTAAGGCTGCATTTACGTACATACAGCTAACACCTACACATAACACTGACACCCTCACTCTAATTGTAATGAAGACAATTTTTCATAAGAAATCTGCTTTCTTGACATGTTAAAATAAACTATGATGCACAGTTTTTGTTGGGGGAGATTGACCTAACATTTGAACTCAGGGCTTTGCACTTAACAAAGCAGGCACTTGAGCCCTACCTGCAGTCCATTTTGATCTGATTATTTAGAGATGGGGTCTTGAGAACTATTTGCTTAGGCTGGCCTCAAAACATGATCCTCCTGATCTCAGCCTCCCAAGTAGCTAGGGTTACAGGTATGAACCACCAGTGCCCACCTGGATGCACATTTTTTACAGTAGATATCTCTGAAATTAAGATGCCACTGGAATCCATGATGCTCATGCTTAATTTTTTACTCAGTAGCTTTTCTTTCCTAATGATTTGTGAAACAATAAAGTAAGCTGAAAATTGATGGTTTCTTAAACTCAATAAAATAAAGCAAATCTCAACCTTCTGGTTGTTACATTTACCTTTATCAGTTCTACAAAAAAGCTTCATCTTCCTACTTCCTACTTTTACCACTGACTGACAAACTCTTAAAAATAGGCTATTACACTATGTAGATTTTTACAAAATAGACTAGAATTAAACTTAACATTTAATTAGTAAACCATAGCAAATTTAAGACTTAATTGTTCCATCTTAAATTTGAAGTATTAAATTTGACTAATCACATCTTAACAAATTTAAGATTTAAGGGCTTTGAGAACTTCAGGATTTACTGTGAGATAATGGAGATAGACAAGGAGTTGAAAGTACAAGACGGGTTGTATAGGTGGATGCATGTACCATGCAGCTGGATTTGCGGACATGTGATGCACACAGGTGTTTTATACTTGGGTTCTACCCAGATTTTGGTGGAGTCAGTAAGTAAAATAATTCTAAGGCTACAGAATTCTCAGGTGGCTCTATTCAGGAACATAAGACAGTTACTACAGTGTTTCTCAATGGAAACTCTTGATGTAAAAGAAGCCATTGGTCTTCTCTGTCCCCATCTCTTCTTTTTTCACCCAACTATCCCAGAAAATGAGAAGCAGACATAGAATTTCCATCTCTCCCATGATGCCATTTCCTGCTCTGCATGCTGATCTCACCACACATCAACAAAGGAGCAGTTACAACTACTTCTCATTATAGCCCTGGACCACAGATGAACAGGGGGTCCTAAGATTGCAAAACCAAATGGACAGTCCTGGGAACCACAGAAAAGGTTTCTAGACCAGGGAATTCAAAGTAGCAAAGGGACCCTCTACCAACTGCCAACTGCCTTTGTCCTCTTTCTAAGTGTGAATTTAAATTCCTCCCCTTAAAAAGAGAGGAAAGAAAAGCATGTTTGCATAAATGTCTCTGGATACCATAACCAACCACTACCCACATCAGATTTCTACCAATCTCTTTAAAACATTTTCAGCTCTTTTAAATATTAATAAAATAAAAAAGAAGAGAGTCAATATCACTTAGCACGTTTTAATATTCTCCAATTTTGGAGTCAGTAAAGGCCCTTGATTGAACAGCCTTGACGTGGACTTACCTTTTGCACAGCTCCTTGGAAGGCCTGTTTAATTCTCCTACACGAGTCAGGTATTAGTTTTGTGTCTTCGCTCTCCAGAGTCGTGTCTTGCAAGTCTGCATTTTCATGGGGTCTCAAAATTCTATAAATGCAATGAGTGCTCTCTTCTGATATTCTATTAGGATCCATCTGAGGTGGGGGGGAAAGTAAGGACAGCAGAGTGGTTACTGTACTTATTCTACTGTTTAATAAGGTGTGACAAGTATATAAAGGATCATTCTTAGAAGAGTTTTATATCCCTAGTGATTGATTAATAGTTAATGCAATTACTGCCAGTTATTGAAGACATCGATTTCTAATTCATTTCATCCACGGTTCTGTGGTGGGTTTTCAACATAAGTACACAGGTGTGATTGACAGGGAATCTTCTCTGCCAACACGAATCCTCATGGAAGGGTGATCAGTGTGGGCAGGGAAAGATGTTTGTCTTCAACACTTGTAACATGCTAGAGGGTTAGAAGCCCGCTTGGAGACTCAGAGCATAAAGACTACATAAATCAGGTGGAATTATCATCATCTTTAACCACCATGTCTGCCTGACCTTTTCCCTTAATCAATGAATATTTTAATCGGCCAAAGAAAGGAGAGAGAAATCCATTTCCTGGCTCCAGGCAAAACCTGAAGCTGAGCGCGATCTCTCTTTTAGTTGAACTTCTCTTCAGTGCTTCTCATCCTGGACTGCCTCATCTGTCAGAGGGTGCTTGGGAGTATGTGTGGGTAACATCTGGTGTCACAGTAGGGTGGGGAGGGCTGGATGAGTAGGCCGTATGGGTAAATGCCGGCTAATGCTGATGTTCTTGTAATGTGAGGGACTGGCTCAACAAAAATACCCCCATGGAGTTACAAGCTGATCACCAGGCTTTAACGTCTCTCTAAACACTCCTCTACATGGTGGCTGCTCCTTCCAGTTCCTGACAAGCCTCGGCAGTGGTTTCAGGGGAGTGATGGTAATAATAATATTTTAACCTTCTAGGCACCCATGGCTCATGTTTGTAATCCTACTACGTGGGAAGCTGAGATCAGGAGGACTGCAGTTTGAGGCCAGTAAAGGCAAATGGTTCTTGAGACCCCCATCTCCAAAATAACCAAAGCAAAATGGATTGGAGGTGTGACTCAAGCTGTACAGTGCTTGCAAAGTCCTGACTTCAAACCCTAGTCTCACCAAAATAAATAAATAAATAATAATAGTTTAACTCGGCCTCTTTTTTTTTACAGGTACTTCATGTACATTTGCTTATTAGTAGATACAAAGGAGACAAAAAAAAGAAAAAGGGAAAAACTACATAAGTTTACAAGAGCCTAAGACCAGTCAGATTTAATTAGATTTTTAAACATAATCAGAAAGGTACAGATTTATTAAGCAACCATGAGCAAGAAACTGAAAACTGCCCCCCTGAATATCTGAAAATTCTCAAAATGAAATAACCTTTTAACAAGTGCGCACCTCTTATACCAACTTGATTATTCTAGTCTTTCAAATGTAAGAATGATTTATAAGCATGGGAAAAGCACCACCAACAATCAAAACTATTTGCAATCTATACTTATTACTCATATTTTCTTTAGAATAATTAGTATGAGTCAGAATATGTGAGTTTTATAGAAGGACAGCTTTCAACCACACACTTAAAAAAAATACGGCCCAGTTAAGCCAGTAAGTATTCCAAAATCAGAAAAGCCTGGGCACCTGGTAGGAAGGGCCATTAGGTTCAGACCTCAGGAAAGCAGACTCATGCAAAGCCTTGCTGGTTCACCCCCAGACAAGAGCTGAGCTAAAGGGACACTGCGGCATTAGTGAGGAAATGCCCGGATGCTAACATTGGTTCAGCTTGAGTCTCACTGACAGACTAAGAGCTGTCAACAGAAGTAGCAGGCTCCAACAGTCTCAATACTCAAACTGCAGTCTAAGCACCAGCAGCTGTGTGGGTTCACTGGGAGCTTACTAGAAGTACAGAATCTTGAATCTTGAACCCAACCCTGGTGGCTCACATCTGTAATCCCAGCTACTTGGGAGGTGGAGGCAGAAGGATCATGAGTTTGAGGAAAGCTCAGGCAAAAAGATAGCAAGACTCTGTCTCAAGAACAAAATACGAACAAAAGAGCTGAAGGTGTGCCAGCTCCAATAACAGAGTGCTTTGCCTAGCATAGTCAAGACCCAGTTGCGGTGGGTGGGGGAGGGGTTTGAAGACTCTTGGGCTCCACCCTGGCACATTTTAAGTAGATCCCAGGTGAGTCTTAGAGATATTAAACTTTGAGAAGTAATGCTTAAAATGTTAAATATGTATGGATGTTCTGCTATTAAAACGACTCACAATGTCCCTGGACACCAATTTTAAAATCTTTTCACAACTATGACTAATTACTACAAGTACTGCAATCATTAACACTAGTTAATGACTTCCTGCAAACAAACAGAATGCAAAGATCTTGTCCCTTCTCTTAAATGCTGGATCTCACCCTGTCTCCACTCTGCTCCATCAAAATCCCAGAGACAGGGTCCAGTTGCTGAGACTTTCTCCACGTATGTTGAAAATGCAGCTGAGAGCCCCAGATGTTTAAATTTCTTCCCCAAAGAAATCATGGTTACATGGCATAATTAATTTAATATATTCATTTATTTTGTTTATTAAAGATCACAAAGTAGAATTTTTTTGGATGGAGGGGTTGGTTTTGGTTTTTTGAGACAGGGTCTCAGAATGTAGCTCAGATTGGCCTAGAACTGGAGATCCTCCTGCCTCAGCCTCCCAAGTGCTGGGATTATAGACATGTACAACATGCTGGGCTTAGAAATCTATTTTTAACCTATAACCAAATGTTCTCATTCCACTGCCCAGGAGAAAAGAGAGATGCATAGGTTTGGGGAATACAGGGTCAAACACACAAACAGACAAACGAGGACGAGGAACCAAGGGAAGGGCACAGGTTTGCTTCAGGAGATACAACTAGTGTTCAATGGAGTGACCAAATGAACGTATCTCCTACCCAACAACCTATTTCTTCGCACATAGCAGTCTGGATAAAAGATTTGCATGACTGAAAAACTGTACTATTTTAGCTGCTAATTAGATCATTTGCATAGTAATAAATTAGAAATGGACAGATGTGTAGTGTCACAAATCATTTGAAAGGACTTTTAGTCAATAAAACACACCAGACATTGCCATAGGCTGCAAAACAGGCAGTCCCAGCATCAGGGAAATTCCAGCACACAGAGGAACACAAAAATTCCATCAAAGGTCACAGTAAACTGAGGTTCAAATGAATTCATTGTACCCAGGTAAGTCTGAAAACACCAATGCTTAAACATATCTGATTTGAAATGGACTCTAAAATGCATTCATCAATTTGATCAGAGTCTGCCTATTCTATGCATGTCATAAATACCACAATCATGCTCCTTTGTACGATTAATTTGTGCTAATAATTTTTGTTTTAAAAAATGCATCCATCAGATGATTTGTACCTGGGAAATGAACTGTATATGTGTGTGTGTGTATGTATAAACTTCCTTGAAGCGGAATCATTTATAGGGTTAAAGTGAGGCAGGACGCTTGCCACTGTGCTACTTCCTTATCTGAAGCAGGCAGCCGCACACCTCTGCAGCAGTGGCTGCTGTCCTGGGTACAAGCAGCCACAAGGCTGGTGTGTGCACGTTGAGAGATAGAGGAAGGAGTTAAAAGGGTAAAAGAGCTTGAAAAGCTTATCTTACACGGATGTTAACTCGCACACGCATTTTACAAGCAAGTTTTTTTTTTGGAAAGGTTTTTTTTTTTTTCCTTTGCAAACCAAAGTATGAATACTATGTGGTAAATATATAGCATGACCCACACGGTATTTTCCCTTTGGTGGGTGGGTGGGGAGCTAATCTACACTGAACCTAGAACATATATTTAAAAAAAAATTCTAGGCCAAAGCCATCTGAAACATCCAGGGTGGCGATTAATTGCTGACTATTCAAGCATCAGTGGATTTTTTTTCTCCTGAGACAGTCTCATTATGTAGCCCAAGCTGGCCTCAAATTTTCAATCTTCCTGTCTCAGCCTCCCAGGGCAGGGATTATAGATGAACACCATCATGCTAGCTTCAGTATGAGTTGCGAAGGGTAAAAATTTTTTAGGTCACTGTGATTTTTACACTACTCTGGGCATTCTTCTAAATGCACTTAAAACTAAATGAAACTGCTTTTCCTTGAGACTTTGCATAGCTTCTTTTTCCCATCTTAAAACTTTAGCAATAAAAATAGCTCCTTTTATCCTTTTTTTAACTGTAAACTATAAACACAAACATAATGGTTTCATTCTCATTCACATGCATTGAGAAACCAAAGAATTTGGGTCCACAACTTTCCAAAAGCTCCTCTTTGTTATAATCAAGTACCAAGTTTTAAACTCAAAGACATCGATATAAGTGAAAATGTTAAAACAGTGAGAAGCCAAATTAAATCTATTCCCTTAGCTAGAACAGCAAAAAATATGAAGTTGGAAAGAAGTGAAGATGGAATCTCCATGTCTCAATAACCCAGCTTCTACAAGGTCAATCTTGTTTTCTGTGTAAGAAACTACTTCCCAACCCGGTTCCCATCAATTGATTCTGAAACGAAATTCCGGACAGCATAGCATTTCATTTGTGGCACTTTCAGAATGTATCTCTAAGTGATTAAGATTCCTTAGGTATCAAATGCAGATGTTAAAGTCTATAAAATGCAATCAGACCTAGCAGTATATGCTATATTCATATGAACACATTACTCCCAAAACCTTTAGAAAGGTTCATATGACCTTTCTAAAACTGCAGAACAGAACTGGGATCAGAATAATGGCTAAAATATTTTGCATAAATCTTAGAGAAACCCAATTATCATGGCAGCTAGGAATATGGTACCCAGAAATCTGGGTGACATGAAATTCTCCAAGTGGAAAAACTTGTAGATAAGTGTACTGATCACATGTTTACTTTGGAAAAGGGTTTTAAGTGTTTCACTATTATTCCTGTACCACCTAGACTGCTGTGTGATGGTAGGGACCCTCAGGAGGACAGACCTCTCAGCCCACTCCACCAGTGGAATTCCTTCAGGAAAACTGAGCAACTGTAACAAGAGCCCAGTTGGTCACTCTTTTCTACGTGGCCATGCCAATTTCTATGGGTCTTGGCAGGCCAAGCTGCCAAGGTCCATAGAACGTGTTCATTCCCACTCTACACTGAACACTCAAAGGGCTGTTACTGCTCAGAAAATGCCATGGCCCTAAAGTGTTAGGAAAGATGGCTGAGTGCCTCTTCTTGGACCAAGAATTATAACAGCCTTTTGCTGGAGGTATCCTCTGTCACCTGGCACCATGCACGTATTGAATCCCTGATTCTGAAGTCACATGTCATAGCGTGTAATAGTGTCCGGTGCACTGCAGGTTCTCAAAACACACACATTAAATGGCAGTTGTTAACAAAATGCTTCATGGGAAAAGTGGATAAACCATTCCTTCCTGACTGCCAGGTGCTCCAGGGAAATAAAAAAAAGTGTAGTCATTTTCATATGGACTTGTGTGTTTCGTTTTGCAAGTGAATCATTCAAAAATTGTCTTTTAGAGAAAAGAATCCTCAACAAGTGAAGATGGCATTTATTAATATACAAATGCTACTTTTCTGAAGAATTGTGCACAGCATTGCTATTTTTGTTTTATAGATAACCACAGCAGTACTCTAAAATGCAAATTAATGGATAATGATTACTTAACAAAAAGCCTCTGATTAGAAGCACAGTGGCACATATCAAATCCCCATCCAATTCAAGCAATGGCATATTTGAATGCATCCCATTTGGTTTAGTAATCACCTTTGAATCTGAAAACCGATGAAGTCCAAACCCAACTTTCTTTTCCCATAAAAAAAAAACGCACAGTCAGCCCCCCACTTCCTCTGAGAAAGAGTTCACAGCACCAGAAAGAGTATTTGAATGAGTGCAACCAACTGCGCTGCAATTTCCAAGAAAACACAAGAGCATAAACCACCAGAGAGCACATTACAAATTCACCAAATTCACCCCTTCCTTCCTACTATCTTCCTGCACTTCTGAGCCTTAGAGCCTCTCTTCGTGGTTGGCTACTCGCTAGGTTGCCTAGAGGAGCGCTCTCTCTCTCTCTCTCTCTCTCTCACACACACACACACACACACACCTTGCTTCCTTCCTCTGCCCACCTTACTGGCAGGCACATGGGGCAACCCCCTTCCTTCACCCCCAAGGAGCAGCAGAGCCTGGCAAATCCACATCTCTTGTAGCGCTGTAATTCTGCCCATCTGGCGACCTGGACATCGTCCCCTTCCCCGGTGCTGCAACGGCCGCCAGCCCCTCACACCCCTCCAGCACTGTGGATCCTAGCATCCCTGCAGTCCACTCGGGGACCCGAAAGCTACCGGGAAGCGGGCGGGGGGAGGAGGAAGGGTGGATGCCCACATGAAGGCGCTCAACTTTTTTTTTTTTTGCCAAATCGATTTGAGTTGCAACTTAAACTCCAAGAGAGAGGAAGAAAGTGTGCCATTACTTCCACAAAAGGTGAGCGGCCAGTGCTGTTTCGGGGATTCAAACCCCACATCTGGACAGATGCGCCCAGCCTCCGCGCTATGCGGTCCATGGCCAGAGCGCCGAGAGAACAGATGGGGCGCACCCCGCGATCTCCAAGCCCCACGCTCCCTCCCTTGAAAAGTCACTTTCCCCTTCTCAATGGGCCAGATGTGGGGAGCCAAGCACTGTGGCCAGCCTCAGTTTCCCTCCAGTGCGGGAGGAACAAGGAGGAGTTGCCGTCCCGCGCGCCCTGGGAATGCGGCCACTCACCTGCGCTCTGAAGTACAGGAAAAGAGCCACGCTGCACACCACCTGTCCCAGCCCCAGCCCGAGGAGGGCCACGAACATGGAGCGGGAGGCCGCGTGGGACGGGGGCGCCGCGGCGGGCGCGGGAGGCGGCGGGACGTGCAGGGGAGACTCGTGCGGGGCGCCCGAGCCGCAGCTGCCCATTTCGTCCGAGCCGCGCAGGTACTTGCTGTAGTCTCGGCTGGCACGGCGCATGGCGCTCCGCCCGCTCACTTGGGCGCTCTCTTCCCTCTGTCGCTCCCCCTCTGTCTCTCAGCCGTTCTCTGCCAACTCCAAGGCAGCCGCGACAGGCTCGGGGCCAGGCGGGACCTGGACGTGGAGAGCTCACTGGCAGCCCAGTGGTAGCTCCAGGGCGCGCGGGCCAGCGGGCAGGCACAGCGCCCAGGGCAGCCCCAACTCTTATAAACCGCATGGAGAGGGCTGGCTCCGGAGCCAATCAGCCTCGCAGAGGCTGCCTCCTCCACTCCCACCTCGGCCCCCCTTCCTTCCTTCCTTTCGCCCTCCCTCTCTGCCTCACTCTCACCAAAGGCCTCTCCCCATTGGGGCCTCAGAGGAGGAGGCTCCAGACTCTGCTTGTCCATCTTCAGCACCCTTTCTGGAGGTGCTAGCCATGGGCCTAGGGAAGATGCTGATGAGTACCTTGGAAAAGGACAAGGGTTGCTTCATGGCCATTCCTCCCCGCAGTACGCATGTCTAGGTCTCAGTTTCCTCCGTAGGATTCAGAAAGTTAGATTTCGTGATCTTCTCAGTTTTCTCCATAGGATTCACAAAGTTAGATTTGGTGATCTTCGAAGACGCTTCCTATCCACCCCTCCCAAGAGGGAGATTCTCCTCCAGAATCCTAATGGTTTGGCTTCTAGCATGGTTCCAAATATAACCTCCTGGGGTATTTGGGAAGACTTGGAAAATTCCGAACTCCCTTCCCAAATCCCTGTTTTTGCAACTTTTCAAAGTGGCTTTCAGTGAGGCAGCTTTGAATGCAGTAGCCTGTAGACAGTCGCCTATCTGACTGAAGATAGGGAGAGAGGGAGGGGCATAGGGGCAGAGTGCAGAGAAAAGGGCAAAGGAGTTTCTGGATAGAAGTAGGCAACCCAGGAGACCACACCCACCAGTCAAGAAAGGTGTGCAAGGCATGGGGGAGGGCATGTCTATAATCCCACAGGCGGAGGCAGAAGCACGGCGAGCAAGACCAGACAGGGCTACATAGTGAATTCCAGACCAGGCTGGGCTACGTTAGCAAGACCTTGTGTGTGTGTATGTGTGTGTGTGAGAGAGAGAGACAGAGACAGAGAGGCTTGTTTGAGACAGGGATCTGCCCACTCGACAGCCTTGCCCCATGGATAGGCGTCTCTCCAAAAGACAAAAAAGAAAAAAACATACAAATGAAATGATTTGTTCATGAATCTTGGACTGGGTGATTCCATGCAGTCCTTGGTCTCTTCCTACTTTTTGTTTGTTAACTTTGTCTTTCCTTCCTCCCTCTCTCCTTCCTTCTCCTCCGCCTCTTGTCTTCCTCTTTCCTTCCTTTTCTTCTTTATTTGGGAAACAACTCTATATTTCATCTTTCTTATAAATCTTTATTAAGATCAAAGATTTTCAAATCTTTAGATCTTAGTTCTAACTAAATCCACATGACTTTACCCTTCCATTCTTTTAAATGAGTTTTTATATAACAATGTTATTTCTTTCTTTGAAATCTTGATCTTCAGATTTCAAGGCAGTTCCTCAAATTTCTGAATCATGTTCAGGTATGCTTCACCCACAAGCTTCATATCCAGGACCATAGGCTGCATTCCTGAGCTTTTTGTTCCACATTCTTACTTCTTCGCAGTCATTCTCCATCAATTCTGGGAAGATACCATTCCACTTTACTCTGGCTTCCATAGGCTGGACTGGAAACTCTACTGTCAGTTCACTTCCAAGGTAATGTATCTTTACTGACTATTTATTCATTCATTCATTAGTCATCATTTCAGTTCCCAATTAATATGTCAAACCTGTATGTTTAAAGATGTTTTCTGTATCACTCACCTCTATAACATTTGTCATGTCCTAGAATATTGCCAGCTGATGCAATAGATAAATAGACAGATAGATGTAGATATAGATAAATCACTTTCATATTCACAATGGCATCTTAAGTGTTATTGCTATAAAGTCTCAATTCTTGAGACTGAAAACTTCATATGATCTTTCTACAAGCTGGCTCAAGATTCTGCAATCAGTTTCAAATGCTACCCTTATGTGGAGTGAACTCTTTCCATCCCCCTCACCTGTAGTGATTGTCCCAGCTGTCCTTCCTCTCTCAACTCAAATGTCGCTTCTCCATAAGTCCTTCTCTGCTCCCTAACCCAAGGTGGCTGTATCTAATTTTTGCTCTCATAGCACTCTTAACTTCTCCTATCATGACATTAATGCAGTCATTCATTCATTCTACAAATATGTTAGTGATGACCCACACTAAGTTGCATGCTAACAGACACCTGTAATCCCAGTTAAGCAGGAGGCAGAGATGGAAGGACATGGTTCAAAGGCAGTTGGACAAAAGTTAACAAGACCCTGCCTCAAAAATAAACATGGCATGGTGGTGCATGCCTGTGGATCCAACTATTTGGGAAGCAGAGGTAGGAAGGTCTGTTAACGTGTCAACCAAACTATTAATTTATTATCAAAATATCAAAGCAAGTCAAGTCAACTACCTAGGATAGGTATTTGCCATATTAGAAATTCAAACAAAATTTCTCACTCATTTGAAGTAACAACATATTTTATTTTATGAAAAATAACTAGACTTTGAAAAATAAAAAATATTAGTGAAAAAAGGTTGTCTTGTTTATGTTTTGCAAATCCTCTTCATAGGAAACAATTCCATTGTCCTGGTTACTCCTATACATAATCTATTGTGATATGTTCTTAAAGGGTATGATGAAAAAAGAGCCTCACACAGTTAGAAAAGGAAGAAATAATGTGAAGTTCTTTTCTACTACACCAAAACTCAACCGTGTCATTTAGTAACTATTAGTTGCACTGTAAAATCTGAAGCCATCAGTGATGTCTTCCATTCTCTTACAATGGTATCAGTTGTCTCACTTGCTCTTTGAATGGGTCTCTTAGCCAGGGATGGTTTTGAACACCAGGCATTGTCACTTGAGTTCCACAGATCTTCCAAATGTTGACACACTCCATTGCGAAATATCAAAAATCTGGGTTCACTTATATCACCTCTGACTTTGTCAGGAAGATCTTTAGTATTGGGAAGCTAAATTCACAGTGGCAATTTCCCAAAAATCTAATTTTTCCTTGAAAACTTGAATTGTATCATTGGCAACAAAAACTGTCAGTTGTTTTTCTTAAATGATAGGCTTATGTTATTCATTTTTCTGACATTAACTTCCCAACACCCATGTTCTAAAAGCAGGATTAATGTGTCTGTTGTTCACCTCACAACTCCATGACCAGTGCTTCTCAAGACAGACACCAGGTTTTAAGACATACATTTTCTTTTGCCTACAGAATATTTTTAAACTCTGTATTCAAGTGCTATGTGATAACTTTTTTTACTGCTCCATCAAGGACATTCGTAAGTAGAAATGGCTTTTATTTTTTTTTCCAACTTGAAGTGTATGCTAGTGATGGACACAATTACTATAAGTACAGTTTTCTTTCCTTTTCTCCCTCTTTCTGCCTTTTCTTCCTTCCTTCTTTCCTCCTTCTTTCTTTATTTTATGCATTTGTTCATTCATTCCTTTATTTTTGCAATACCTTGCACTTGCTAAGCAAGTGCTCTATCACTTGAAGCCATTAATACAGTTTTCATGTCAGCTCTACTGGGTTTGCAATAAGGCTCTAGCATTTTTCCCATTCTTCTATATAAAAAGAAGAGCAAATCATGATTTTAGTTTTACTGTGAAGATAGCTTTCATTTAGAGGAGCCCTTGAGTGGGTATCAAGGACCCTAGTGGTGTGAGGACCACATTGGAGAACCATTGAGCTCTTTTGACAAAGCTATGCACAGGATAGCTAGTTCTACTAGATATATAAATATTTAGTAGAAAGAGGTCTTGAAAATAGTAAAACCTGGGGATTATGAAGTCACAAAGCAAGAAAGAAAATCCTATCATCTCGAGAAAGGAAACAGGTCTTGGGCAAGGAGGGATGCAAGAACTGAGAAACATCCAGCAACAGCTGCTGCTGGGAATCCCTCTCCATGCCCAGTTCCACATTTTTTAACAACCAATGGACTCAGTCCTCCTTAGGACTCCAGCATTGCTTCTCACCTGGCTGGTAGGTGCAGAGAACTGGCTGTTTTCAAATCTGCACCGAGGGATTCATCACTCCCTTCTTGAAACATAGGACCATCACAAGGTTACTATTCACACCCTACTTCAATCCTAGCCAGCCATATTGAATCTTTTATGTATTCTTTCTATTAAGCTTTCATTTGAAGAAAAGTTTATGTCATCAACAGCATACAATTTTGGCAACAACAAAAATTAAAATGAGTTTAAAATAGGAAACCACTGTTGGATTATAAATAGGAAAGCTGAATGGGCAGTCTAAATATATATTACCATAGGGCTGAGTTGAGGTTGGATTTAAGATGCGACTGTGAGGCAGGTAGACCTGCTAGAAGGAGGTGCCGACATCAAGTAAAGGATGAGGAGCGTTAATGGGGCAGAGAGGAAAGAACACTGACCCGACAAAGCACTTGCAATCTAGGGAAAGGCAGTCAAATGCAATGACGTCGGAGAGTGCTGACTAGAGGCAGTCAAGTTCAAATGCAGCTCTGCTACTTCCCCTCTATCCAACAGGGATAATTTACATAACTCTCTGTTCTCTCATTTTAAAAATAGAGATGGAGCTAGGATAATTCGCATCATAGGGTTATCATAAGAACTAAGTATGTTTATGTAGATAAAATGCTTAGATTAGTGCCTAGAAGAGAGTGGGTACTCTATTAGTGATTATTATTTTTAGAATGGGTAGCACTTGATGAGTGGATAGGAAAGGTACCAGGTGGGAATTTGGGTGATAAGGTGGATAGCGACACCATGAATCAAGATAAAGAACATAGAAAGGCTGGTAGTGCTACATAGGTGAATCATTAATGAATTATTACCCTTAACTTACCATTTCAAATGTTTTGCTAGAATTCTATATATGTACAATCCATTTATCTCATTGCCTCCATATGTTTCCTCAATTTTAAATTTTTTTTATCTTTTTATTGAATTATTT